TACATATTATCTGTGGCTGCTTTTGCACACCCCAGTGTCAGAGCTGAGTGGCTTCAAGGAGAATGAACGGCCCACAAAGCTGAAACGACTTGCTATCTTGTCCTTACGTAAAATAGTTTGCCAGCCCTCGCCCTCAGAACATTGGCTTCAGTTCCCGGGATAATATTTTTATAGGGACTTACCTTTGTGGAAAGAGAGTGTTTTGAAGCTGAATAACTTTAATTCCTTAAATAACTTTCAACATTTGTTTTGGAGGACCTCTCAGGGAATTTTGCCTGAGTCAGGTGGGAGGTAGAGGAAGGGGCAGGGAAAAGCTGAGAAAGCTTTTCAAGAAAGTGGTGAAGTCAGATTTTGAGAAGTCAAGAAGCTACACAGATTGTTGACTTGATGGCATAGCAACGTGTTCAAGGGCAAGCCATCCTTGTCCCCTTCAACTTGTCATTATCTTTGTTTGGATGTTGACGCTGGAGTCACCCAGTAGTTAGGGAGTCCTCACCCTCATCACATTAGTAATCACGCTGCATATGCTATACTTACCCAACTGCCCCTTGGAGCCCACAGCCCTTCGTGTGTGTTTATTTCTCCCCATAACATTCCTGGGGGCATTTCCATTGGATGAGATTTCTTGTGATCAGGTCACTTCCCTTTGGGCACACGAAAGAAAAACAGAAAAACCCTCGTCAATATGAAAGCACCTTTCAGCAAAGCCCAGGTGGTTGTTTGCGGGCATTTTTCAAGTCAAGGGACGAAGGCGAATGATCAGGTCTGGTTGCTGCACCGCACCTGATCCCAAAATGAAACTGCTTGTTTGATCAGCTGCTCTTTCTACCACAGGGCAAAAAGTTCATCTTAACAGGATCGATCTATCTATCTATCATCTATCTATCTATCTATCTATCTATCTATCTATCTATCTGTGGATGCCTGGAAAAGAGCTCTAAGGAACCCAGAACAGAGAGTGCAAATGGGTTTAGAAAACTGGTTAGTCTACAAAAATGGGATCCAGGCATCCGGAGAGAGACCAAAGGCCCTGGGGAAGGAAGCAGCTATTGGGGAGGAAAATTTTTTTCTCTACCCTTCAAGATTCTTCTGGCTGATCTAAGAATTGCATTGACATGAGATAGATTAACAAGAGAAAATCAAATTTAATCACACACATATGGGGAATCCACATAAGCCTGAGGGATTCCAAAGACAGTCGGCAAAATGAGGTACATGTGTCATTTTGGGCTGAGGAGAAGGGGTGGAGAGCTGGAGCTTCAAAGGGAAGGAAGGCAAACCACAGGAAGAATGGAAGGAGTGAATGTTTGGTAAATGAATCTTTGCTGGACCACCCAGAAACAACGGGACCTAGAGAGGACTTTGATCGAACAAGCCTTGCTCTGTCTACCATACCTAGTTCACATCACACGACAGCTGTCTATGGCGATGGCTCCCTTTCTGGAACAGGCCCTCTATCTAAATTCTTTTAGGAGGTTGGGGCGGGGGAGGGGGGGAGGCAAAAAAGGAAAACTTCGTGAGTCTTCTATTCCTTAAAAGTAATCAGCCTAAAGTAATCCACATGCCAAAGAGACACATTTTGGGGTAACAGATTTTCTTCTGATACCCAGCTTACTCCAAATGCTGGAAGGAAACAAAACTGGCAGCTAGATTCTGAGTCTGACCCTCCCTTCAGAGAGTGCATTGAAAGCCTCCGACTACCGTGTGAGAAAGGAAACGGCTCTGACTGGGCAACCCTAACTCAGAAAGGATGGAAAGTTTTATCCCAGGAGGAGGAATGTACGTGGTGACATTCACGGACCTCTACGAGCTCAGAAACCCCATGTAACTCTGAGGAAATTTTGCCTGCTAATATTACAGAGTGACTTAAGCCCAAGGATATACAAACTAAACTTTCCAGAAAAGCAAAAACCACAACAGTGGCCAGCGTGCTCACTTCTCCTTTGTCTGCACGTGGGTTTCTGCTCGCGAGGTTTCCGTTGAAGCCGGTGCTGCCCTTCTACCAGGATCCAAGAAACACACGTCTCTGGATGTTTAGTAATGAAGTCGGAACTTTTGGTTTTCTTACAAAACAGTCGTGGTGACCTGGTGGGGTGACACGTGGGCCAGATACGGCTGTGCCTTGGAGCGGGGCGTCTCGGGATGCTTACGTGATTGTGTACAGCAGATGCATGGAATTGAGAGCCCCAGCTCCCAGCTGCAGAGACAGAGCATGACATCGTGACCCTTTGACAAGGTAGCAAAAGGGGCTGAATATTTCTCCTTTTGCTAAAGTATTTAAAAGTATGAAATGAGGGCGCCTGGGTGGCTCATTCAGTTAAGTGTCCGACTCTTGACTTTGGCTCGGGGCATGATCTCAGGCTTCGTGAGATCTCACAGCTCTATGCTGACAGTGCAGAACCTGCTTGGGATCCTCTCTCTCCTTCTCTATCTGGCCCTCCCCTGCTTGCGCACATGCTCTCTCTCTCTTTCTCTCTCTCTCTCAGAATAAATAGGCATTAAAAAAAATAAAAGTGTGGGGCGCCTGGGTGGCTCAGTCGGTTGGGTGTCCGACTTCAGCTCAGGTCACGATCTCGCGGTTCGTGAGTTTGAGCCCCGCGTCGGGCTCTGGGCTGATGGCTCAGAGCCTGGAGCCTGCTTCCGTTTCTGTGTCTCCCTCTCTCTCTGCCCCTCCCCCGTTCATGCTCTGTGTCTCTCTGTCTCAAAAATAAATAAACGTGAAAAAAAAAATAAAAAATAAAAATAAAAAAAATAAAAGTGTGACATGATAACATTAGAGAAGTAAAGTTGAAACTCCAAATCTACCACTCTAATATGACTCTTTCAATTTTTTTTAAATTTTGTTTTAGAGAAAAGAGAGTGCACACATGCACGTACGTGAGTGGGGGAAGGGCAGACGGAGAGAGAGAATTTTGAGCACCACTCAGCGTGGAGCCTGATGTGGGGCTTGGTCCCACCACCCTGGGATCATGACCTGAGCCAAAACCAAGAGTTGGACGCTCAACCGACTGAGCCACCCAGGGGACACCCACCATAAGGGTTCTGGAGAGACTGTAGAAATCTCTGGAGCTCGAGGGGTAAGGCCATTCTCTGGACAGGAAGGACTGCAAACGGAGTGGCCTCGGCCCGTCTGGGGGACAGTGAGAGCTGGACTGTGGCAGGAGCGTGGAGGGAGGTGCTGGAGTGGTGATGGAGGCTGAGTGGGGGGGCAAAGCTGGCGGGCCTCGTGCGGAATGTGCTCTCCAGGGGCTGGATCCGTCCTGGAAGTGAGGGGATAAGGGATCGGAACGAGGAGAGGACTGGGCTGTGGGTTGCCGCACAGGAGGCCACTCAGGGGTGAGGGTGCTCATACAATGTGGGCCTTGAACTTAGCAGGGCGGTCCTGGCTTCGGGGCCGTGGACGGGGACGAAGGTCAGCGCCTGGTGGGGCGCCAGGAGTAAGGAGCTTGCACGTGCTGGCTTCCCATCCTAGTGTCGGCCTCGTGCCCCCCGAGGTGAGCTGCTGGGTCTGGATACTCAAAAAAGGGATTTTAATTTGGGGGGGGGCGTGTGGGTTACCCCCTCAGCTTGGAAGGTGGCAATCCAGGCTGTGCTATTTCATTGGCATCGTTAAAGTGCTCTCACGGCGACAGCACTTGAATACTCCCAGCATGTTATTATTCGTGCAGATTAAGTCCAGGTGATTCAACAGTCTCTGCCTTTCACCCCAAACACACGATGGAAGTGAATCTGTTTTCCTCGGCGGGCCAGTGGGCTTCACAGGGGACAGACCAGGCACCTGGCACTGTGCCGTCAGACGTCGGACATCCCTCCGGCTCTGCCTGCCGCCCTGGGTGAGGCTTCTGGTCTAGGGGGCTGGCATTTTCAATGGAGTCATCTGGCCTGGCCAGGTGGGGCTGAGCAAGGAGCGGAGGTGCGGGAGAATGGGGCGGGGGGTGGGGGGGGGACCTGTGTTCCGAGAGCTCAAACCTGCCCAAGCGAGTGGCTGTCCCGAGCAAAAAGTGTTTTCTGATCTCCAGATGCCAACGAGCAAGTACATAGGAGGTGGGGGCGGGGCAGAATGGGGGACAGAGGCCAAGGTCAGATCTGCTTCTTCATGTCCACACCTCTCCTCAGGCTCTTCCCCTGCCAGGAGCAAGGTGTTTTTCACACTCACCACCCAGGTGACAACATTTTGCTCAGAGCCCGTCCACACCTCTCCCACACCTTAGCCTCCAGGACATCTACTGCCCAGACCAGGGGCTCCCAGAGTCTTTGGAAAATTAAGGTCCCGTGTGATGGCAACACATCTTAAAGATCCATGGGATTTTGGCATTTGTCGATTAAGCAAAGATTGTCAAAGAGCTGTTAGAAATTCCTAACTCTTTTAAGGAATTTGGGTTTTGTCAATCCTAAAAGCACCTACCTATTATTGAAGGACAGCCATGCGTGTTCAACTTTTAGCTAATACTTGATCGGCATCGGGATCCGTAACCCCCTTGTCACAACCATGTGGCTCACCAAGGACGTGGATTACGGAAGCTTCCCGGTGAGCACACTATGCTTGTAAATTGGACATTGGGTACGTACAGGTTCTTGTCTTCCCAGGTAGTTGGTAAGGTCTGCCGGGGCACAGGGATGCTGCGTGGTGGCAGGTGCCCTGTTGAGGAAGTGTGGGAAACGTAGGCATACTGTTAAGATGACACGGCAGCAGGCGCGTCTGGGTGACCCAGTTGGTGGAGCGTCTGACTTCAGCTCAGGTCTCAATCTCGTGGCTCATGGGTTCCAGCCCCTCATTGGGCTCTGTGCTGACGGCTCGGAGCCTGGAACCTGCTTCAGATTCCGTGTCCCCCTCTCTCTCTGCCCCTCCCCTGCTCGCACTCACTCACTCTCTCTCTCAAAAATAAATAAACATTAAAAAAAATAATAAAAAATAAAAAAAAGACGACACAGCAGCAGAGACAGAAGGGCCAGATTCTGGAGGCCAGGTGTTTTGGGAAAAACACGTCTGTGATGAAAACCTACATTGTGGTCACACAAGGAGAAACAGTGATTCAAGAGGCGGACTTGGGGCAAAAGTAAGGCCATCCAAAGGTATATTTCATCGAGGAAAAATAGGCAGCGCCCCGAAAATGGTTAGGGCTCAAAATCTGGTTCCGGAACACAGGGATAGAGGTAAGAACTAATTGTGGCAGAACATTCCAGAACAAGACAAGCGGAGACTCGCCTTGGTAAGCAGAGCCTGGAGAGGCATGGGTCAGATGGCACCCGAAAATAAAAGTGACAGTGACAGAGGAAGGAAGAAAATCAAAAAAGAAGAAGAGAAAAGACTGGAGAGGGTGTTGTTATCAGGACAGTTCCACATCCAGTCCTGACAGAAGCCAGAAACAGGTTCGAACGACTTGACGTAAAAAATCCTCTTTGATGTCATGTGTCAGGAAGAGTAATGACTTCCTTAGGAAAGGCTGAACGATTGCAACCAGAGTTATTTGGCTTAAAATACCCCTTTCCAAAGGGGAGAATTATTTGGTTCATTATGAATTGGAATGAAATAATTCTTTTGTTCACATGAGTTCGGGTCTTGAGTTCTTGTATCTTGGGAACTGTGAAAGCTTTGGAAATTTAGTGGCGCGCAAAGGGCCTGCCGGCCTCAGAGCCCCCTCTGCCGCCATCCAGGGCTCTGGCTTTTTCAAAGTGCAAAGCACACAGTAGAGTGGGGGAGACACCCGCCAGGAAACCGCGGACCTCGGGTTTGTCCTGGCTTTGCCTGGGGACCCTGCGCCTTGCCCCCCGCTCCCCGCAACCCCCACCAGACTCGATAGCCTCTGAAATCGTTTGCCATTTGCGCATCTATTCTGTTCTAGAATGCATCTCTGAACGATGCTGACAGCTCGTGGGTGTGGGGATCGGGCATTGTGGGCCCAGCCCCATCTGTGTCCCAGTCAGCCGTGTGACCTTGGGCAAATGGCTTAACCTCTCGGGGCCTCATTTTTCTCATCTGTGAAATGAAGTTAATAATCTTTTTTTTTTTACTCTCATAGATTGTTGGGAGGGCTCAGTGCTCAGTGAATGATGCAGTCCTCGGAAGGGTGAGTCCAGGGAGGACGAGCACCAGGACTTCCTCCCAAGCTCCTTCCGTGGCGTTATACGATTGGTCCAAAGGGACCCGTTCCAAAGCGAAATAGGTAGCAGGGAAACTGTGTGCAGAAATGTCACGGGTTCAATCACAGAAGGCAGGAAGTCCAGCTTCTGGTATAACGATTTGCTAGTGTCAGAATCCCCTGGAGGGATTGTCGAAACACGGATTTGGGTTTCTGATTCCGAGGTCTGGGTGAAGTTCAAGGGCTTACATTTCCAGCAAGCTCTCAGGTGCTGCTGGTGCTCCTGATCAGAGAAACATTTGGAGAACCACTGGATCATAGACCTATGCTAACACTGGTTTTTCCCCTCCAGACACGAATAATGCTTAGACCCCACTTAAAGGGAGAAGAAAAAAATCAAGGATCCTCTTTCATTTGTGAAACACTGAGTTAGTCTTTTTCTGTGAGACTATCTTTTTAAAAAAAATTTTTTTTAATGTTTATTTATTTTTGAGAGGGGGAGAGAGAGAGTGTGTGAGTAGGGAGGGGCAGAGAGAGGGAGACACAGAGTCCGAAGCAGGCTCCAGGCTTTGAGCTGTCAGCACAGAGCCGGACGCGGGGCTTGAACCCACGAACCGTGTGATCATGACCTGAGCCGAAGTTGGACGCTTCACCAGCTGAGCCACCCAGGTGCCCCTTGGTTCAGGTTAAAAAATTTCTTTTCGGGGCACCTGGGTGGCTCAGTTGGTTGGACGCCCGACTTCAGCTCAGATCATGATCTCACGGTTCACAAGTTCTATCCCCACATTGGGCTTGCTGCTGTCGACACAGGGCCTGCTTTGGATTCTCTGTCCATCCCCCCTCTCTACCCTCCCCCTCTTGTGCTCTCTCTCTCTCTCTCCTAGAGATAAATAAACATCTAGGGAAAAAAAGGGAAATGTTTCCAGCCCAAAGTGAATTGTGAGTCTCTCTCTCAGACGGGATCAGTGTTCTTTATTTTCATCAGGTGTCATCTGGGTGATGGGTAGAATGATTCCCTAAAACCTGGGGGCTGGCTGGGGAGGAAACAGAGCAAGAGGCCCGTGACGCCTCTCCAGGGGGCTGGGGAGAGAATCACCGTGTTAGAATAAGGTCTTCGGGTCCAAATCTTGGAGCGTTTCGAGCGGCTGCCTTCTCCCTTCTGCTGGACTCTCCTTAATGAAGGGCTCCTGCAGTGGGGGGCTGCCGTCCGCCGTGCGCCCTTTCCTTTCTGACCCGATGTGCGCATCTCAGCCGCCATGTCATCTATTCTGACAGGCAATGAGACTAGTGTCCTTTCCGCCCTCGGCTCTCTCTGTATGACTGGCGCAAAAACTCCGGCCAAGGACCGACTGACTTGCCCAGGGTCATAAAGCCCACAAGCCCCAGCCAGGACTTCCGACCGCGACTGCAGGCCTTTGCCACGTGGAGAATCTTGTAACTTGGGGGGCAATCTCCTTGGAAACCCAGAGCCGGAGAACGAGGTGGTTGGCATTCCGTACGAGGCACGGTCGCTGAGGAATGAGGGCCACACGGGCGTGTGACAGACACGTGTCTTTTCCAGCTTGCAGGGACTCAGGGAACAATGCCTGATGCCTAAACATGGACTTAGTCGAACTTGGTGTTCCTACATCCCACCTCCACCATCCCCCAAGCCACCCCCTTCGGAAATTTTAGAGTGCGGTGTTACACTCGAATACGTGGAAAAGGCTCTTAAGTCACCCACAGACGACACACACCAAGTATTCTTTAGCTGTGGGAGGAGACGGGGCGTTGCCAAAGTGGAAGGTTCTCAGCTATTTGCCTCGGCATCCCGGGAAGAATGAAATGTTTGCCCCGGAAGAAATGGCCGAGGGAGGGGGCCCCAAGCCCCCTTCTCTAGCCTTCCTGATGACGGAAGACTTGTCTCAGCCAGGCGCCGGGATGCTGTTTTGATGCCTGTCCGGATGGTCTTCTCCAGCTGCTTGCTTTGGGGAGAGGCGTGGCCGAGCCAACGGGTACGGGGCCCTGAGACGCTGGTGTAGCAGGTTGAATCGTGTCCCCCCATTCATTTCCACCCAGAACCTCACATTGAGACCTTATTTGGGGTCACCTTTAATAGGGTCTCTGCAGATACAGTTGGTGAAGTCAGGATGAGGTCACGCTGATTAGGGTGGGCCCTACGTTGAATGACTGGTGTCTCAGAAGAATAAGAGAGGTTGCATGGACACACAGGGAAGAAGGCAGGTGAGGACAGAGGCAGACACAGGCAAGGAACGCAAGGATGGCCGGCCACCGCCAGACGCTGTCGGCACTGGGAGGGGCTGGCAGGGTCCTTCCTGGAGGCTTGGGAAGGGATCAGGGGCTGTGCTATCCTGATTCTGGGCCCCCCGGCCTCCCTGCTGGTGGTGCTTTGTTACAGCAGCCCTAGAAAGGAATCCAGGGGGGAAGGCCGCTTTCCAGGGGCATGTGTCCGAGAGTGAGAGCGGAGAAGGAACCACGTTCCGATAAGGTGCGGAAGCGGCCAGTCCCTGCGTGCTCCCCTTATCTCCCTGATCGCTGGTTTCCTCTCTGGCTGGGCCTCCGAGGAGCAGGCAGGGACTCAACAGGAGGCTCCAAGCTGGATATAAATCTCACGTTGTGGTGTTTCCGTGCCTCTGTGCGCACAGGAGATAAGGGAGAGGGAGGAAGTGGGAGCCCGGCTTCAGCACAGAGGAAAGTGACCGAGATGGGGCCCCGAGAAATGGGGCCCAGCGCCTTAGGTCTCCTCTGCGGACACCTGTGCTGTCACCACTGTGTCTCTCATCACGTCCCCTCAAGCAGATGCGCTCCGAGCCGCTGTTTGCTCAGCTGAGAGATGGGCTCATGACACGAATGTGCATCCTGGCCAAGCCTGCAGGGGACACGCGAGTGCAGGCAGGCGAGAACGCTGTCACATCTGCCGAGCACCCTCACATGGGGGCTATTGGTGTCTTCTAAGTGACCCCGTGGCTTCCTTGCCAACAGATGTTGCTGTCTGCAAATTCCCGGGGCCAAGTGCCGAGCTGGGCAGTGCCGGAAGGGTCCTCTTCTCCGGAGGGGGTGGTTCTCAGGCTGGGCGAACTTGTGCCTCAGGCAGGAGGGATTCCCACCCACGCACCCCTGCATCACGCCGTCACACCCCATGCTGCGGTGACATGAATAGGGAGACAAATGCGGGTGACCCACCCCAACTGCACAAGTCATGATGACCTTTCACCGCTGCTTCTAACAAGGCTTTGAGGGCTCTTTGGAGCTTTTAGGCAATGACTCTGTGCCTGATAAGATATTATCTCCTGACAAGAAGCTTCTGAGTGATGCAGCAGAGTGAGAGAACATTTTCACCATATTAGCCCCTTAGAACATCCGAGAAACCAAAGACCAACGTCCAGCTGGAAATTCGGATTCCGCTTGCCAGACTCGGACGGCGTGCGGAAGTCTTCCTCTGGGGATTCTCCTTCTCAGGCGTTGGACACTTACTGATCCCAAGATTGACTCCCGAAGGAAGGGACCTTCTACGTTGGGTTGCAAAGAAAGGAAGTCACTTGGGGCGCCTGGGGGGCTCAGTCGGTTGAGCGTCCGACTTCGGCTCAGGTCACGATCTCACAGTCCGTGAGTTGGAGCCCCACGTCGGGCTCTGTGCCGTCGGCTCAGAGCCTGGAGCCTGCTTCCAATTCTGTGTCTCCTTCTCTCTCTGCCCCTCCCCTGCTCTGACAGGCTCTGTCTCTCTCTCCGAAATAAATAAACATTAAAAAAAAATTTTTTTTTAAAAAGAGACAAAGTTTAAGAAAGAAAGAAAGGAAGTCACTCAAGGTCACAGAGCTACTCAAAATCTGAGATAATAGAATGTAAATAAAAGAACTACCACTTACTGAGCGCGTACTGTGAGATGCAGCTACGTGTGAGGATCCAATGACTCCTCACCACGTCCTGTGATGGAGGTGCTCTCCCCATTTTACAGAGGAGGGAACTGAGGCAGAGAGAGGAAACCTCACCGAGGGCCAGGCAGTGAGGCAGCCCCAGCTCGGAACACGATACCTTCCTGTCTCGGGACCCGCAGCTGGGCTGCCTGGCTGTGTGGCAGAGGGACGTGGAAGGAACGCAGGGGACTGCTGTTAATGGTCTGGCGGCTGACCCGCTGAATGACTCCGGCTAAAACACTTGCCCCCCGACCCTGGGTGACTTGCCGACCTCCCAAGACTCAGTGTTTCTTCTGTAAAGTGGGTACTGATCCCTCTGGGGCTCATCTCCTGCTGTGAAGACTGTGCTGTGTGGAGCGCCCGCCAGATTATTCCCAAGGTCCTTTCATCCCCCACTACAGACTGGAAATGTCACCTCTGTGTCTTCGCTGCCCGGTCCATAGTAACTCTGCCACCCATGTTGGTTCAGAGGAAGGTTGTCTTGAACAACATTTCAGCGATTCCTTTTTTTTTTTTTTTTAATTTTTAAAAATGTTTATTTATTTTTGAGAGAGAGAGAGAGACAGGCAGAGCATGAGTGGGGGAGGGGCAGAAAGAGAGAGAGGGAGACACGGAATCCGAAGCAGGCTCCAGGCTCTGAGCTGTCAGCACGGAGCCCTGTGCGGGGCTCGAACTCGTGAACCGTGAGATGGTGACCTGAGTCGAAGTCGGAAGCTTACCCGACTGAGCCCAGAGGCCCCTCAGTGATTTTTTAAGGAAACCACCCGTAGATCTTATCACCTTGCCTTAATCAGCAGGCGAGTTTTTCTCTGGATTTATTGTTTTAGTGTTTCTCCGATTTCGGTCAGCTGTGAGGATCATTAGGGTCTCGGTGTCATCATACATCTGGCCTGACTGGTCTGGGCTGGGCCACCAGATGCTGTGACCGTTCCCAGCTCAGCAGGGAACTCCTGTGTCCTGACCACTGGGTCGGGATCAGGGGTTCCCCAGTGGAGTCTCCTTCCTGGGGACACCTCCTGCCCCTCCCCCCCCAGCCTCCTTTCCAGCATCCAGGCACCCAGCACCTGCCTTGACCTTCCCCATCGCTCTGACCACAGACTCTATCTTCTGATGTCCTGCAGCTACTCAGCTACTCAGCCCTGCCGGTGAGTGGGGTCAGCAGGAGGCGAAGGCCCTTGAACATGACTCAGCAGCCCCAGGCTCCCCTGAGAGCAAGCAGCCTGGGTTTCAAGTCGTTATCAAATGAGGTAATTACAGGCCAGGGAAGCAATTCCTTGTGGTCTGGTTTGGGCCCCGTCTCTTCTCAGAAGGCCTCTTCCTGGTTGAGAGATTTTGGCAACCCCGAGGGCACCCTTCTCCTTTCCTTTTTGCATCCCAGTCCCATTTTTCTGGGCCTAGGAATGAACGTTGGCCCCCACCAGTGTCTATTCTGTGTCATTGAAAAATTACCAGTGGACAGGTGGAGTAGCACCAGTATATACGAAGCACACTGTGTGATGGAACCTTCTGGGTCCATGAGCTATCGAGGCGAATCAGATGTCTGTCTCTACCAAGACCTTTGGTAGAGTGGGGATACGCGTGCACACATATATACACAATAAAATACTGAATCTGTTCTGTTGCTGCTGTAACAGTAGACCCTGGCTTCCGTGGCTTCAACCAGGACAAATGTATTCTCTACCATTCTGGAAATCCCAAGTCCAAACAGGTCTCACTGACTTAAAATCTGGTGTCAGCTGCGTGCATTCCTTTCTAGAGAAGCTGCTTTCTTGTGTTTTCCAGCTTGTCGGACTGGTGATGTTGAATGTCTTTTCATGTGCTTGTTGGCCATCTGTGTGTCTTCTTTGGAGAAATGTCTGTTCAAATCCTTTGTCCATTTTTGAAACTGGACTCTGATTTTAGCTGTAGCTGGAAGGCTGGCTGGCTGGGCTATACGATCTCAATGTCCTTTAAAATATTTTCTTTTAAAATCCCCTTTGAGGAAAAACAACGTGTTCCTGTAACTGGCTGGACAACGTATGCTTCGAAGAAGATGGTTCTGCATTGTGTGTAAACGGACATCCACCGTATTTCTTCTGTCTCCACGGGGAGGTGGGGCCCTTACCTATTGCTGGTTCATTGCCTCTCAGGGACACCCAAGAGACTGGGGTCTGCTTATGCCAATCTCCTTGTTGGAAATGGAGCATAAAGGAAGATTATGTCAGGCCTGGAAAGCAAGCAGCTAACGCCAGGGTGGTGGTTATCAGCACGGCATGGCCGAGGCACAGGAGGGAGGCGGGAGGCTTTGTCATGGACCTAACTCTTGGCTTTGAGAACCATTTGTAAGAAAGCCTTCAGTCTGTTGGTTCCAACTCTTACTTCCTGAGGAGCTGCCATATTGTTTTCTACGGTGGCCGCATCACCTTATATTCCCAGCAGCAATGCACAGAAGTTCCAATTTCTCCACGTTCCGGCCAATACTTGTGATTTTCTGTTTGGTTTGGCTTTTTAACAATAGCCATCCTGATGGGTGTAAAGTTGCATTGTGTTTTTGATTTGCGTGTTCCTAGTGATTGTCGATGTTGAATATCTTTTCGTGTGCTTGTTCGCCATCAATATATCTTCTTTGGAGAAATGTCTGTTCAAGTCCTTTGTCCTTGTTTGAGACACGTGAGGGCTAATTCTTGTCAGGAAGATTTTGGAAAAATTCCGTGGTTATTTAAAGGGATTAAAACATATTTTAAAAGTGCACATTATGAGGATGCCTGGGTGGCTCAGTTGGTTAAGGGCCCAACTCTTGATTTTGGCTCAGGTCATGATCTCACAGTCATGAGATCGAGCCCCATGTTGGGTTCTATGCTGGGTGTGGAACCTGCTTGAGATTTTCTCTCTCTCTCTCTCTGTCTTTCTACACCACCCTGCCCCACCTGCTCACACATGGCTCTCTCTCTCTCTCTCTCTCTCTCTCTCTCTCAAAAAAAAGTGCACATTAAGGTATGAGACCCTGCTAGTAGGCAACGCTGTGCATGTGTGAGGGCAGGAGCCACATGAGAACTCTGTTCTTTCTACTCCATTTTGCTCTAAAAAATAAAGTCTGTTAAAAATGAGGGGCCATTTAAAAAGGAGATCTCCCACCACTTCAGCACCCAAACAACAAGAATATGGAGAACGCGTTGTAAATCAAGGGGTAATATAAAACATATCTTTGGCGAGGTAGCGTGGACAGACAGGGCCTCATCTTCAAAGCTAGACTAGCATTATTGTTCAGCTTTCAGTGGGAGATAGCCATCTCTGCTAACCGAATCAACTCTGCAGTTCAGGCCCCACATGACAGTTTGTTCATTGGCTCGTGTATGTTTGTACGCACGCACACATGCCCTCCTGCCTGTGTTGCATGCAGAACTGGGAGCCCTGAGTGCTTCAAGTCAGCCTGTACCCATTCACTGACTGTGGACTGCGGCATAGCTAAGGTGTTTGGTGTCATTTCTTGCAATGAAATTCACTCCCGGGCGCCCCGGGGGGCTCAGTCGGTTGAGCATCCAACTTCGGCTCAGGTCATGATCTCATGGTCCGTGAGTTTGAGCCCGCGTCGGGCTCTGCGCTGACAGTGAGGAGCCCGCTTGGGATTCTCTCTCTCCCTCTTTCTGTTCCTCCCCTACTTGTGCCCGCTCTCCCAAAATAAATAAATAAACCTAAAAAATGGATTAAAACCTATTTTAAAAGTGCACATCATGCGGATGCCTGGGTGGCTCAGTTGGCCAAGCGTCCCACTTCTGATTTTGAGACGTTCGCTCCTCTTCGCCTTAATGAAAAGAGCTTCTCTGGGCGTGCTGAGCGTCCCGTCTCCTGCCACCCCGCCAACGACTGCCGCTGCTCGGTCCCTGGGCCTTTCTGTATTCATGGCCGCCTGTCCAGTTCATACGTTTCTTGATCTCCTTCTTATTTCTCTGATCATTTCTCAGGGAGGCCTGCCCTGGCCCCTGTATTGGTTAGATGACCTGCTGAAATGGGGTCCCTTAGTAAAGGGACCATTTTCCAAGCTGTGGGCAGTGTTTGGATGGGGCAGCGCCCCAGGACCAGCAGTAGGGGGGAATCTCTCACCAACTCGGCCTGAGGGGTCAAAGGGAGGGAAAAGCTGCCATGGGCAGAACCTGGAGAGAGGAAGCATGTCCACAAAGGAACCCAGTAGGGAGAGGCGGGTGCAGACGCCACTCAGTGTGATCTCCTGACGTCCCCCCTCCCCCACAGGCCCAGAGGAGGCCGGCAGGCAGGGGGCCATCTATGCATCTCACCCGCCGATGTCCTGGGGCAAAGAGCAGAGTGGAAAATCGTGGAGAACGAATCTGCGGGGACAAACAGAAGGCATCCGGCCGCCTCCCTACCCGTTACGGGCTGGATCGTGTCCCTGCCAGATCCATGAGGTGAAGTCCTAACCCCCAGGACCTCAGAATGTGATCTTATGTGGACACAGGGTCTTTAAAGGGGTAACTAAGGTAAAACGAGATCACGAGGGTGGGCCCTAATTCAACCTGACTTGTGTCTTTATAAGGAGACGAGATTAAGACACAGAGGTACACAGACAGACGACCCTGCGAGGACCCGGGGAGCAGGCTGCCATCCACGAGCTAAGGAGAGGGGCCTTGGAAGAAACCAACCCCATTCACACCTCGATCTTGGACGTCCAGCCTCCAGAACCGTGAGACAAACGTCTGTGGTTTGAGCCACACGGTCTGGGTGCCTGTGATGGCAGCCGCACGCTAAGACACTTTCAACTGCCCCATTCCCAACGCTGTCTTCCCCTCCTAGCTTGGTTTTTCTCCTTAGTCTCCATTCCCACCTGGCAGATCCGACGTCTTATTTATCTGGTCCCTCGTCTGTCCCAAAGTGCCCTCCCTCCCGTGCCAACTCCGTAAGAGTGAGATTTTTGTCTATTTGGTTCACTGCTGAGGCCCCTTGTGACCAGATCAGCACCGAATACATAGACTGTGCTCTGTGGTGGCAAGTGTTTTTTTTTTTTTTTTTTCCAAGTTTATTTATTTCTTTTTTTGGGGGGGGGGGGGCCGGCCCGGAGTAAGGGGGGGGCGGGGCAGAGAGAGAGGGAGAGAGAGAATCCCAAGCAGGCTCCACACTGTCTGTGCAGAGCCCCACGTGGAGTCTGATGCGGGGCTCAAACTCGTGAACGGTGAGATCATGACCTGAGCCAAAACCAAGAGTCAGATGCTTAACCGCCTGAGCCACCCAGGTGCCCCGGCAAGTGTTTGTTGAATGAAAGGAGGTTCTCCAAATCCCTCCTTTTTAGTAATCGTTGCTGGTTTCTTCTCCTCTGCTCACCTCTTGACTGCACATGTCCCAGACCGTGCCGGGCGCCCTTGGCCTCTGCAGACCACGCCTCCTCCAGACGGCTCCTCACTGTGAGGGGTGACACTGAGGCCCGGCGGGGTCTGGAGCCAGGGACTCCAGAGCCACACGGCCCCTGCCTGTCTCTCGTGTGACATCGCATACGCTGACCTATCCAATCCTCTTTGCGCTGGCCTGGCCTTCTACTCAGCCGCGTGTGGGGATCTCTGAGCCAGAGTCAGGCTGAGGTGAGGGGGGAGTGAGGTGTTCTGAATGCTAACTCTGTGTCACTTCATCGCTGCCTGCTGAGCATGGGGCCATACCAAGGGAGGCTTGCGGGAGGCCTGAGAGGGATCGGAGTTGGTGACCTGAGGGTCTAACCGGTGGGGCTGAGTCAGACACAAGGGGTGACAGAGACAGAGATAGACACACAGAGACAGAGACAGAGAGAGGGTGAGAGAGAGCACACGTGTGTGAATGAAGTTTAGAAGGTGTCCCTCCCTTTCACATAGCGGGACCCGATCCTGTCTGTCACCAGGACACTGGCATTTGTGATCAACAAGTTCTGTGGGATGTTTTTCTGGAGGTCCCTGTGTGCATGTACAATGTATTTCCTCAGAAGCCTTTGGGAGGTTTTTGCTCATCTGAGCTGCGGCCCTCCAGGTGTCAGGACAGGGCCTGTGCTCGTGATAACTGTTTTCCAAATGTCTACACTTCCTCACGGAGAAGGTGGGGACGGACCGAGGGGCAGGCAATGGGGAGGAAGGACTTGGAGCCCATCTCCCCAGGAGGCACAGTTGCTGCCCCCACGGGAAGAGGGAAGGGTCTAGACTGGGGAGGACATCTTGAGCAGTTGGGCATGTTGGCTCACGGAGCTGAGGGCTGTGGTTTCATTGGCCGGGGTGCTTGGGTACGAGGGAGGAAGAGAGAGAGAGAGAGAGGGAGAGAGAGAGAGAGAGACTGAATGCCTGAACTACCACAGGCAGCTGGTAAAACAAAATAAAGAGGCTCCTAGCACATCCGCCCGGATCCAAGGCAGGCTGTGTGGCCGGCTCGCAGGGTTCCTCTGGGCGGTGGGAGCCCCGGGCCGTGTGCATGGGATTTGGGGAGGATGGAGGCCAATCACCCATGACCACGAGAAGGAATGTGTGCAAAGGCAAATTGCCAGGTATCATTTGTCTTGTTCTATTTGTTAGAAACTGCAGGAAAGGGCGTTAGGAGAGGAAAACATAGAGTGCGGCGCTCTTGAGAACTCAGGGTGTCAGTATGCAACGTCGGAAGCTTCTTCGGAGGACTCATTATCGTGCGAATTTGGAATACACCAGCCCCTGCCCCTGCCTTCTTTCATTCATTCATTCATTCATGCAATCATTGAATAAATATTTGTCAAGCACCTATGGCTGATTGAGTCCTGGGGTCAGTCACCATTCCCTTACTACACACACAGTGCCGTGCTAATTCTGCTGGAATGTTCAACACATTTGTGGAATAACTTTATTCTAAAAAGACTTTTTTTTTTTTCATCTCTTCTGTATCTTTGAAGAACTCCAAATCATCCTCAGTACTTAACTCCCACACTTTTACATGGCTTGATTTAAAAAAAAAAATCCTTGGGGCGCCTGGGTGGCGCAGTCGGTTAAGCGTCCGACTTCAGCCAGGTCACGATCTCGCGGTCCGTGAGTTTGAGCCCGGCGTCGGGCTCTGGGCTGATGGCTCGCAGCCTGGAGCCTGTTTCCGATTCTGTGTCTCCCTCTCTCTCTGCCCCTCCCCCGTTCATGCTCTGTCTCTCTCTGTCCCAAAAATAAATAAAAACGTTGAAAAAAAAATTAAAAAAAAAAATCGTTGAAGCCAACCTCTGTGTATTTATGTCAAGATATGTGCAGAATTTTCTTCTGCTGTCGTAACTATCCGGGAGATGCTATCGCAGGCACGAGTGTCTGTGACCCAAGCCCCCCGCCCCGATGGGGTGGCATGGATCGTGGGAAGCAGGAGCAGAACCGAGGGCTCGCGACTCCCGGGAAGACGCACATTCAAGAGCAGTTTGGCCAAGACCGTTTCCTCTGTTTTGGTCCATTTCCTCCCTTTGTTCAGAAAGCTTCGTGTTTTCTTTGTCGGCTTCCCCAGGTCTGCTGGTTCCTGGAACGAATACACCCCCATGACTGGGCTCTTCCTTCGATGCAGCCAAGGACGATGCTGTATTTTCTCTCCTCTCCAAAAAGGCACCTCTGTTTTCCAAATCCGGCGGACCAGACTGTGCTATTTACTCGCCAGCTTGTCTTTTTTTCCCCGGGGCTGCAGGCTGGCGGCTTCCAGGAGCAGAGGCCAGAGTGACTGCCTCTCTTTTACAAAGGTGCTGGGGTCTCGCCCTCTTTCATTCAGAGGCAGGGCCGGTGTCTGACGGCTGAGGTGACGAGTGTTGCTATCTGACCCTCTCATTTTGGGGGAGTGGCAGGGGGGGTAGAAAGAGGCCCCAAAGAGGAGAGGACAGGGGCATCGGACCTTGGATCGGATGAGCTCCCAGCTCTCTGTAGCTCTCCAAATAAGCACTGATGGTCCTGCCTCAGCCCTCCCCCCCCGCCCAGAGAGGTTTTCACCCATATCTCTAGGGGCAGAAGGCCATGGGTTGGGGTCATGGTATTTTTTTTTTTTTTAATTTTTTTTTTCAACGTTTATTTATTTTTGGGACAGAGAGAGACAGAGCATGAACGGGGGTGGGGCAGAGAGAGAGGGAGACACAGAATCGGAAACAGGCTCCAGGCTCCGAGCCATCAGCCCAGAGCCCGACGCGGGGCTCGAACTCACGGACCGCGAGATCGTGACCTGGCTGAAGTCGGACGCTTAACCGACTGCGCCACCCAGGCGCCCCATGGGGTCATGGTATTTAAAAGCCACTGGCTGGTAGGCGCCTGAGGGCTTGGAACCAGCAGAAAAACCCCAGGGGCTGATCTCCCTGTCCACCCCGCCCCCCAGCCATTCCTTTCTCCGTGGATTGCCGTGGCCCTGACCTTGGCGGACAGTGGTGCTACGTGCCCTGCTTTAGTAACCTCCCCATCCGAGCCCCATGTGCCCCCCCCCCCCCCCGAGCCCTGCCACACAGCCATCGTGAGCCTCTTCCAGCTACTGGAACTGCTCTTGCTCACCTCTGGGCCGTCACATGTTCTGTTCCCTCTGACAAAACACTCTCCCCTGCCCTGACTGGCTGTGTCCTAATCCCCCAGCAGGTTTCGGCTTCCGTGGGATACTCCCAAGTATGGTCACCCTTGACCACCATAAATGGGTTAGAGGCCCGACCCCGTGCACCCCTGTATCTCGGAATGCCCCAGGATGGCACAGGCAGGACCACATGGGGCAGCCTCTGGGCTCAGCCACCTCCTCACCTGGTACGTCCGCTCTGCGAGGCCCAGGCCCGCGTGCTGTTTCTCTCTCCCCAGGGCCTGCACGCCGGAGTCAGTTGATAACTATTGGATAAAAGAAGCCCGTGCACCCAGTGCCAGGCACGGAGCTGGGCACGGGGACACAGGGCGTAACAAGAGACCCAGGATTGGGGTCTCCTGGGGCTGGCTGAGGGAATCAGGGAGTTACCACACGGTCCCCACGGTGGTTTTACATGGGACTCTAGGGTTCTTTCGCCGTCCACAGGTGTGAGGTGTGTTCCCACAAGAAGCACCCTGTCTTTGTGGGAAGGTGGGGTTTTCTGGCTCTCGGGTCCCGAGTCAGGGTCCGCTCGAAAGGCTGGGGTTACGGAGCACCCTGGGGCCCGTCCTCTGGAAAGTAGATAGGGAAGAACGAGCACGTTGCAGATGACGGTGAACCCAAGGCGTTTTGTCACCTGGGTCTGCCCACGGGACTCCCGAGAGTTCCCCCGGGCGAGGGGCTCACTGGAGCTCCCCGCTTTCAGGGACTGTCATCAACCCCTCCCCTCCCTGTGATTTTGCTTTGCTTCCCGTGCAATGATTGTTTCCAAAGAACATGTCAACCCGCAGTCGCACTTTTTGGTCTAAAAGCGAGAGCACTTCACGGCCCCCTCCTGCAAGGGCTTCGGCAGAATGTGATAAAGAGGCCTTTGTAGCCGGTAATTAAAGTGGAGGAACTCGCTGTATTTTATAGGCAAGTCCTCTGAGCTCTGTGTAACGTCCTGGGAGAAACCTCACAATCGATTCACGTTTATATGGGCCCATTAATCCGCCAAGCATGGCGTTGACTTTGGTCCATTCCAACGACCCTGCTGTCCAGGTGATAATAAGCCTTTTCGGTCTCATGTTCTTTTTGCTCCCACTTCTACTTTTTCGTAGGCAGAAGAGAAAACAAACAGAGGAATGAAACGCTCTGCACGACCCCCGCGTCAGAGCTGGTTTGGGTTTGGGTGGGCGGCATTCTGGGCTCCCGGTTCCACGTTCTGGCCGGCCGACGCCTCCCTTCGAGCACTCCCACGAGCACTCCCAGAGTACGCCCACGAGCACTCTGCAGTGGAGAAAGTCAAAGCCACGCCGGAGTCTCAGAATCTCATTTTCTTGGAGTTTTTGCTTTCGGGACAATATACCAGCCTGACACCAGCCCCGTGTTCGGACCTCAGTGACCACCACACCAGCACGCAGTTCTGTCGGGAGGGCTCAGCCACTCAGGTGTCCATCCCCAGGCCTCATCTGGGAGGCTCGCAGGAGAGAC